TCATGAATTACGAGGAACGCTACCGACCACAAATTTGGCGGATGGTAGAAAACCTTCGTCAATTCCTCGTCCGATCCGGATATCAAACGCTGTTCGAGCAACATCAGTGGCGATCCGATTTCAACATGAACGCGCACACAGCGCCGAATGTTGAACACCCGTACACCAGATCGAACGCGTTGCCGTCAATGACCGATCCGGTCTTGCTGAATGTACCATTGTATAGCCCGGATGGAACACGTGCGAGCCAACTAGGAGCTCGGGAATACTCCCATGACGAGTTGGAGAGTGTTGCCCAGTTCGTCATCACGAACGCACACCCAGCCTTTGTAATCACCGCGGCTCGGGCAGCACTGGATTTAACCCAGTATCTCCCGGAAGGAGAAGTCGACATGGCCCAGGATGGAGTTACGGCATTCCTGCGGTTCATCTTCGCAGCTCGACTCGGCAATTACTATTGCCATTACACCTTATACGGACTGTATAACAACGAAGCGATACCCGCGGCTGTGGAAACCCTCGTAGCCCAACTTGGCACACCAATGAGAAGCGTTATCCTCGCCGTCTGGATGCGCGACTTGCTGTATACCCACGAACGGTATGCGACAAAGTATGCCTTTCGTGAGGATCACGTAGATCCCAGCGACGACGCAACTCGGTTTATCAGCTGGTACCGCGAAAAGAAGACTTTGCCTAGCGGATTTAACTCGTCGCCCTACGAACCTTGGATGTCGGATGACATAGCATCCGGCGCACGACCGTACGCGCTGCGGCTCCGAAAACAAGCGGCCAAGGAATCGAGAAAGGGCAGAGCGGAGCGCCCAGGCCAGGAAACAGACGAGACCGACGAGATGTCTCAACGGAGTGGCTCGGCGACCTGTAAACCGAGGGACCCAAACATACGGCCACATAACCGACCTGGCCCGGATGATGACGAAGAAGAAGATTACTTCGGCGGCGATAAACCCGTCGAAGTCCCACTCAGTTAAGGTCGAGTTCCCACATCGGAACTCGATTCCCCATTTGGAATAACTATGGGAACTTAACGCCGAGAAACGGCATGGTCAAGAACCGACCTTCCGACTGAGAAACAGTCTAGCTGAGAAACAGCATCGTCGAGAACCGACTTCGGAATGGATACTTTTCTTCAGTTCTTTTCACGGAAACCGAACAACCATGTACGCGGCGGACGTCAACGACGACTTTGCCAGAAAACCGACTACACAAGTCGGCCGGATTCTTTGGTCGGACCCGGAAACGCGTGGTCAGACCTGGGTATTTCGGTTCTTTCACCGTACCGTTACGTCCCCCAAGAAATCCTCTGGAACGAACTGGGCAACCGACCCCAGTTCCCCAGTACGGCAAAAACAGATCGTAACCACATCTGCTAACAAAGCAGATCGTCAACCACGTTCTGCGACCATCGGAGCCAACAGAAGCCCCAATCCACGTTACATGGAGATTACTCCGGCCAACCGACTCCGGAGAAGAAACCGAGAGGATTACGCTAACATGGCGCGGAACACGTCGCTGCGCGCGTTCCACGCCATGTTTGCCGAGCACCCGTGGCCAACCTCGGAATCGGGTAGCCGAGCAGCCTTCACCAGTGTAAACAGCGGAAATCCTTCGGCCGAGCCGCCAACAGCGCAGGAAGACTCGGATTTGACTAGGTACAGGAGCCGACCACAAAGGTCGACTTCGTACTTTGCCCATAACTTGGAGACATAATGGATACTGCTGCACAAGTCGACCACAAAGGTCGGTTGTGCAAGCCGATCACAAAGACCGGTTTTGGAAACCCAAACTGTTCGACCTGCAACGACGCAGATCGCTAAAGCCACGATTCGCTACCTTTAGACGACCACAAAGATCGATCGAGTATGGTAGCCGACCGACAGAAGTCGACTATGGAGAATGGATGGAAGCTGGCAGTAGTTACGTGGCAATTCAACCGGATTCTCCGTTTGAATCCAGACCTACAGGCTCTGTACCTGGAGATCAACCGCAGTCTCCCCCGGGCGACATCGGGTAAACCAGCCGATTCACCGGTGACCACGACTACGCGCGTCTCTGAACGTGCTGCCATTCCCTGAAGAGGAACAGCGACGGTGATTTGGATACTGGTGTACCAACGACTCCGCCGCGACCTGCTTCCCCCCATGTCTCAAATGGAACATCCTAGGCGGACCGTGTTAGAATACGCGATCTGCACCCTTAGAACAAACCCCGCTGACAAAGACCATGCGGCCGCAACAAAAGTGGCAGCATTGCCTTTGTCAGCGGCAAAGAAAATTCCCCTCGTGGACGTGAGTCGTCTACCCCCAACAGAAGCGGCTAGGCGTCACAGGTTCGCGACAAAACAGAACGGAAGAAACAGATTTGACGACCTCAGGGACTTGCATGTGCATGAAGTTTGAACCAAAGAGCTCGTCTTGTCAACCGGGGCCACAAAGACCCTTAGTGTTGCGAGCGAGCGCAGTGCATGATGAAACGCCAGTCAACCGGCCAACAGATGCCAAGGAACTCCTACCTCGCAAGACTCGGCGACCCTGCAGCAAGTTATTCGGATTGACCGACCTCAACAGTAGCTCGGATCCGACCTGGAGTTCACGTCAGAGATTACAGAAGGAACGGAGTTGTGCTGCTGAACATCCTTCTGCCAGTCAGCACTGACCGAAGGATGTCCAAACAACGAAGACCCGGCCAACTGTAGCCGAACGCACAGAGTTCCCAAAAATGAAGTCGACAACCACCAGACGGAGGTCGGAAGTAAGCGACAACAAGTCGGAAAATCAACCAGAAGTACGAAATCGACCTCCTAGTGGAAGAACTTGGCCTTTCGTCGGATAAAACACAAAGTTTTTCCGACTTGAGGAAGTCGGAAAATAGCTGACCTCCGAATTTGGACATGGATATCCGACCTCGAGCTGAAGTCGGAAGTGACCGCACAGAAGTTGGAAGGATACGACAACAAGTCGGCAAAAGCATTTAGAAGTCGAGAATCGACCTTCTAACGGAAAAATCCGACCTTCGAACGGATGAAGACTTAGTTCATCCGACCTTCCGAAGTCGACCACAACTGAATACAAGTCGGAAATCGGCAACTTAGTCAACACGACGGAAGAAGAATGACAACTGTCTGCGGTGGATGAATTCGACTTGAAGGAACTGTTTAGCCCCACACGGGCATGTTATTGCAGGTTAACCCTAGTCGACCACCGACCGATAGGATGACCGACCTCGACGGCAGGTCGGATAACAACGGCACACATTGGATGGAAGTCGACCGGACACTTCCATCGATGAAACTCACGAATTCCGACCGGACCTTCGAGCCAGTTCGACTCGGATTACTCCAAAAACCGGGCTCGTGGTAGCAGATTAAACGGTTGTAACCGACCACTTTTGAACGGAACTGCTGTACATGACGACCACACAGGCCGCATGACTGACATACAGCTTTTCCGACCTGGACTTTAATAATTCGGGACATAACCGAACTTTGCCCGCCACCGGTCGACTTACCGGTAGGCCGACCTTGGTCAAACCGACCTCGGTCCTCATTCCCCATTCAGAGAGGATGCCCCGGCATTTGCACCTGCAACAGTGCCTCTCTATCCCGAACGGACGGATACGAGGCGGAAGTAAGCGTTTAACCGTGCTTATCCGACCTCGTTGAATTTAACCGGTTACGACGGGTAACCCGGGAACCCATGCCCCGGACCCATCTTACCGGATGAAAGTGGACAGGAGACCCCGTGGAGACTCAACTGCCCCGTGGACGTCATCCTAGTCGGAATAGGACCCCCGGACAGATGTTTGCATTTTTTTTAGCATTTTTCCTAACAAACGGAATTGTATTTTTCTAGTTCGATCTCTTTAACAGATCTGTTTTGTAACCCCTTTTGCTCACTGGAATTGTGATTAAACTTTATTTCATACTTTCTTTCGCGCTGTATACAACTTTCATTACATTTTTCTTTCACATTGTTCTCCGTCGCCAACAGAAGCAAGAAGCCAGCCAACAGAAGCGTCACCGGTCCAACGAAACGCCCGAGCGGCTTCCGGATTTTCGGCCGTGAGTGGCTTCCACTCATGGGTCCGGAAGTGAACAAGGGACGGTCGACTAGACACCGGATTCCCACTGCCAGAGGACGTGTACCAGCGACCCCACATTGGGTCCGACTGGAGAGTTGTGCGGTACTGGTGCGGTACCGAGTCGGAGCATCCTTCGCAGGAGCTCGGATTCCCGCCCAGAGGCATGTCAGAGGCACATGACTGCGCCTGGTGCATACGGCCCACCATGGACGTACTGCACTCATGCTTGCCATATCGCCTCTCTCGCTGTACGTACGTGTGCTGCTGCACTGCACTCATATCCGCTGAAGCGGATATACGCGGCGCACACGCTGAGCATACTTGCTCTCTCGTCCCTCTCTCGCTGTATGACTCAGCGTTGATACGCTCGCGTTGGATCGAGTCCAGTCTGCGCATCAACACACAGCTGATGGCTCACACCACGTGCTTGCCGGCAGTTGCTTCTTTCACGCCTTGACGGACGCTCAAGAGCTCCTTCTAGCATTCACTTGCTTGCTTAGCCATCAGTGCTTTGTTTTGCTTTCCCTGCTGTTACGCAGCATTGTTCCCTTTATTTGTCAATAAAGCTACACTCGTGATCTCCTCGCGCTTGCCTGTTACACTGCTGAAAGGGAGTTTATTCTGATAAAATATTGTGCTTCTAGATCTTCTTGTTTGACGGTTGATTCTCGTTGGGTTGTTTACACCGGAAGCGTAGCTCGAAATTTGAGCAGTCGTGAGTGACAAGAGGAAAGTGGGACAATACACCCAAAATCCAAAGAAAACAGGGAATACTGGACGTTAATCCTTCCGATAATGTATAAGATTTTAGAGCCATGTAAAGTTGTAAACCGGAAGGATGCCTATTAAAGTTTACTCAAGGAAATCAGAGCGACTTACAAATCAAGGAAACCGTAAATTATTTATTTAAAATATTTCAAAATAAAGCACGAATAAGCCGGTTTGCTTTTAATTGTTTAGGTACTTTCCATTACCTAAAGTATTCGGAAACTCTTTCAGAATTCAGAGTAAATCTCAATACAAAATACATGTTAGACATAACATAAACCGAATATTATACCATCACAGGTTGTGCCCTACGCCAGCATAACGAAGCGTATACATCAGCTATCAATAATATTAAGCGTTATAGAAAAAAAGGGCCATTCGTTTACACTTCACAGTAACGAAATGGAAATTGCTCACAGGACAATGTAGAAACATAAATGATGAATGAGATGCAGTATTCCGCAGCTTCCCTCTTGTCGGTACTCCGCAACGAGTGGCTCATTTCCATTTCCCGAAAATAATCACAACTCTTCCAGAATTCAGTTCACATTGTCTTGTACTTCCAGTGGAATTTGGGGAACAGGAATTTGGGAGTCGCCGAGAGGATCAGGCTGTTGGACACCAAAACCAGTCGTTCATCATTGACACCTGCCCGGTCTAATGTTTTTTTGATGGCATCCAGCAAGTACCGCTTCCAGAAGACCATGGCAAAGGCGGCCAAGACGATAATGTTGGAAATCATGTAGATCAAACTGTTCTACTTCCACAGTTCAAAGTAGATCAAACTGTTCTGCTTCAGTTCAAGATGGCTCAGTATTCCTTCGTTCACTCCAGTAATACTCTGCGTGTGTGAAATGTATTTCACATCTAGAAAGACTCATTTTAGTTCATGAACAAGAAACTATGCGCTTCGGGAATGTGACCAGGAAACCGAGCTGCTCAAGCTATAACTGAATTTACACTGCAGTAGAAAAGCCACGAAAATAATATACGTATTCTATTAGAAATACATGGTAAACTTAATGAGTTTTTCGGCAAACGGGTAAAGCTAGGAACAGATAATCGGCGAATTTTTATAAATATTCCACTACAGTTTTACCAGTATAAGCCATAATGAACGCTCGGATAGTATCGCGAGCATGTGTTCGGGATAGTCCAGCCAGTAGTAAACCGTTTCTCACAGAAAAGTAAGCCCACCGGAACACCCATTATTCCATGGTGTCCAGCTACCCTAAAACAAAACCGAGTTGAAATGATAAAAACTACAACGATAATTAAATAATATAATTAAAGCTGTTCAGTCCACCATGTAAAAGTCACAGACCATAATCACATTAAAAATTACAAACGAAATCGCTTTGCAGCAATTTTATTACAAGGTCATTCCGAAAGTTTGCAAAATATGGTACAAAGCAGAATACGCACTTCCAAAATTTACGCACCCTGGTGTTCTGTCGGTATCCACAGCCAGAAATCTAGTCTCCGGGAAATATACGGCTGCCGAGTGCATGACAGGCGCTGCGCGGTAGCAGTAGGGACAAGTGCCAGAATAAAAGAAGACGACGGTGCACACTTGACTAGTCGCTGTGTCGTTGAGCAGATCTTGCAGCTGGTAACCAGGAATCACATTGAAATCACCAGACTCTTTGGAATATATGCTGGCGCAGCTCAATCGGGTCTTGTTGGATTGATATAAAAATATAAAATTGATCGTCCTTGCCATCCTGAAATATCAAAAACGCCATGCGTTCTTTTAATTAAGTAAAATGGACGCAAGTCTTCAAATTTGTAAACTGCAGCTAATCGGTGCTCGACAGCATCGTTGAACTATAAAGAGAATTTTGAAACATCCGATTTACAAAAAGCAATGCAAACTGACAGGCTTTGTCAAGAATTTAAATATAAGTGAAGTAGGCAAACATCGAGCGAGAGAAACTTCCAAATTCTCCAAACAATGCGGAAACCGTGCTGTAATTCTAAGACGTCAAAACAGATCCAAAAATTAATAATTTTTGCAGACCGTTAGTATTACAAATAAATGAAAAATTTACAACTACGCGGTATAACAAAAAGGAGAAAAAACACAGTACAGAAAAAGTTCTGCCAAATGAAAAATTTTGATACCTGTGGAAAAATCCAGCGGATCAGGCTGCGTCGTACATGTATCATCCTGCGTCACGCCGACGATCTTCAGGAAGCGCTCCTTCGTGGGAGCGGACCAGGGACGTGGGAAGAAATCGGCGGCCCATTTCATGAACTGCACGGATTCCGCGTTGTTCACCTGGCTGAGCGTGGACGCCACGGGCAGCGAACGCAGCGCTTTCTGGCGGATGGAGCGTTGGCGTCGGCCGTGGTCTCCGCCATTGGCGTTGCTGTCACTATGGACCAAGCAAGCAAGTTGGAATTCGTGCAACTGCGGATCAGCTCAGTGAAATTCCACTGCGCATTGACGCATTGTCCATCATCCATCTCCTCCGAGTGTGGAGGGACTACGAGCGGAGTCGGAGAGGCTGTCATCCGACTCGGAGGCAAAGGGTGGAAGACGAAAGTAAACAGGACCAAAATTCAAAATCAAATAATCGAAAATCAAATACGTACTGTATTATAATCATTTTATTTTGTTTGGGGAACATAGAGACTACAGTATCCTTGACAAGGCCTTTATGTAATAACCTCCCGCCGGGCGAAGCGTTCAACCTTGGAAAGTTTAACTGAGATTTTGTTGTTCTAATTTATAATTTATAAGTTATAATTTACAAAAACATGTATCTGTGTTGCTGAATGAACCACCGTGCGATTGGCCAATGTTGATAACTTGATAGCCGCATAAACTAAACATTCAAAATTGCATACGAGTATCCATCATGATCGATGATCCTAGTAGAGTCTCCAGATGACAGCGTTTACGGCTTACTTCGTTGCAGACGATTACTAGTACTTAGTAACTAGAGTAGTACTAGTAACTAGAATAATTTATAATTCCCGCATTTCTCTTCCAGGTTGCTTTGAAAGTGGGTTGCATCGTTGGGGTGTTTCCAACTGCCAAGAAGTTTTTGCTGTTGTCAGATTTTTCTGTTTGCAACTTTCGAGGATTATATCTCAGATTCAAATAACAATGACTGAATCGGAAGTCTTAATCGTTTTAATTGGAGGGAGTATTACAGCCATGCTCTGGTATCTGATATCGTACTTCCTGCCTCCGTTCGTGGAAGAACCGCCTGATGAAGCTCCGATCCAGGCACAGAAAAATCCTGCCGATAAAAAGGTGTGTGCAAATGTCTTTACGACAAAGATACACACAATGAAACGCACCAAAGGTGCCAGAAACAAGACGAGCACCTCCATATTCCCGAAAAAACACGACAGAAATTTTGATCCCAAGGAAAAATTCGAAGGACAGAAAGATCAGTTCAATATTTCAGGTCAGTCATGCAACGCGAGAACAGTGTTGATAATTCTGATAAAATTTTTTGGTTTAGTCCGAAATCAGAAGTACATCGGACATAGGTATATCGTGTTATACTGTTACTTACAGTTACGACTCTCAAGGTATGTTAAGCGAGTGTAAATCTGCACTCGTTAAGCTTGCCCGAGTGCATCGAGCTCCTTTTAATTTTGCAATACGTAAGTTTTCAGTTTTTTGCAGATAATGAAGTTGCGCCTAGCGAACCGGTTCGCTACCCTGGACCTTTTCGCACTTACGAAGAAATGTTCGCTTATATTGAAGAAACCATGCCATCGCCACCAGAATATGTACCTATACTCGTACAAATGGGCAGTTGGGGACGTGTCGGAATTCGCAGCGTGGCCATTGTGTTATTATTATTTTGCCTACTCCAGCCATCGTAAAGATCGACATTTCTAACAATAAGGTAGGACAATCTAATTAATTTTAAGTACTCCACAACTCTAATGCTTAATACTAATTGTAAGTTAATGGTATAAATTGTATATGAAACTAAGCTGACTCCCAGAATTTAGATATTCTAAAACTGAACGTATGTTCCAAACGCTAGCTGGCTGGATCCATGCAAGTGCAATCCCTTTTCCAAGGTTTCTCCAAATGCAGTTATATATAATTTTGCAAACTTCAGAAACAGTTCTCGAAAAATATGAAACGTTATCGTGCAGTGGTACAGTACTTTTTCGTTATATGATTATCCGGTGATGGTACACAGTTAAGAAATTACGTAAGGCTTACGTAATTTCTTAACTGTATAGTGCACCCAAGTCGATTTTGTCCAATCTGACCACGAAACGTAATGGAAATCGGAAAAGAAGTTCCATTAAAAACCACAGGATTAACGGTCGAGAAATAGAAATATTTAATGCCGGCGTGCATTAGAATGCACAACATCGGAAAGCCGGCAACTAACAGGAAGTTCAGAATAATGTACCATAAATCCGAAGTCTTCCACGAGGTATATAAATCGTTTATGGCACTTGAAGCATGCGATCCCGTGAATGCAATCAGGATCATTTTAATGTTTTCCATAGTAGGACAATCGACGGATCCGAAGAACGAAAACAAGATTAACAAAGTCAAAGCAATACGAATTCCGTTGAATCGGAAGCTGAAGACGGACAGCAGACTGCCGGTTAACAATGGTGTATCCTCTGTGGGAAATGGAGCTGTCTTCCGTAGATAGGCAGTCATTTCTTCTCGAGTTTTGAACTGGTGTGGCGCAAAGAAACTGGAATGTTTCTGGATGGCAGTTTCCAGCATTCCCGCGTTGGTTCCTTGAATCTGGTCGATGGAATTTAATGCTGGCGGTATACCTACAACATATCGGTGCAATAGTAGAATTTCGCACAAAATGACAGGCTGCATTTGTATTACAGATAAATGTTGTGACAATTTCATTATGTACCCCGGGAAGTTATTACTCTTAAAAAAATTAATTTTGAGACGAGTCATTACTTGCATCAACATTAAAACTACACTAAAATGTCAGTGGGAATAATCATACACTGTTATTGGGTTTAAAAATTAATATCCTGTTATTGTTGCACGTTGCTTTGTGTGCCATTACTATTGTTTAGTTGCCGATCATTAAGCAAAAATATACTACTTTGTAGGTGTTTGAGCTCCTGCTGCCCTACACACAGCTGTAATATGGGAGCCGTCCTTGGTGCTGTCTGTGTATTAACGTCGAAAAATGTCTACATATCGCTCGCTTGCTTGCCCTTAGGGCTGCTGAGGCCTATACTATGTAGTATTATTTTGGTACAAGTATTAAATTTAAGACTAATAATTTTTTATTAAATTAATTACTTCATACATCCACGGTCGGTCAACTATACTACCCCATAGTTAGGTATTAATTTTGTGTTGGATTTAATCGGTATAGTAATTTTACAATCATAATGTACTATCATATCACCTTAAAGGTTACCGACTTCCGACTGGCAATAAATCCGAGCGAGTAAAACCGAAAAAATCGCTAACTATAACGGAAGCGGTGGCTGACGACTGGTATCAAAAAAGAGGAGTCAGACCGCGAGACAAAAGAGCTTTTTTTTCCGCCCGTAATAACAATTATTTAATTTTCTTTCAATATAGTGGTGTGCAGAGACTCTGGTGGTGTGCACTATGTTCTTGGTGGTGTAAGGAGATTTAGGTGGTTTTTGTAAAAAAATTAAAAAATAATAAAAAGTGGTGTGCGGAGCCTGGCGGTGATGTTTCGTGGTGTGCGGAGACTTTGGTGGTGAAACGTGGTACGTTATTTTGTAATTGTCCGGTACTTCTTTCTGTGCCGTTTGTGCGACATGTTGCGGTCCATAGTACAACTGTAACATAATAAGTTGCCACCAAGCGTTGCCGTTAACGCAGTCTGCAGAGGTTTTCGATATCGATCAGCAGACTCTTCGAAGCAATGCTACATTATTTTGTAATTGTACAATTTTGCAGTTCTATCTAGCAAAGTGCAGTTGAGTGCAGTCGCAATCTTCATGAACTGTTTTTGGTTTTCTAATTGTTAGATTTTGATTCACTTTAGTTTGACAGCAGTTTCTCTCGTTACGCGTTCGCTTAGACGATTATTTCTCGGAGGAATCACCACAGCGGTATAGTATTTGAATTTGCAATTTCCGACTGCAGATGAGTTTCGGAAGAGACCTTTCTCAAGAAAGCCAGGGACATCATAAAAGAGCGAATACGCGCTACAAACGACAAGACGAAGCGGAAAAATGACAATGTCTGTGGTGTTTATTTGCTGGTTGTGTGTATAGGATGCTGATGTTTGTTGGTTGGGTAGATAATATCGGATTGTCCAGCGGATTCATCCAATTCCTCGGGTCGGCCGGTGAAGAGTGAATGTGAAGCGAGGACCAATGGTGGAGTGGTCAGTCTGGTCTCGCGGTTCACCCGGATGAGCGGACAGTTGTAGAGCTCCACGGTGATGACACCCAGTCGACCGGCAACGAGTGTGGAAGACCGCTGGCCTCGACCGGCAGCGCGGGTCGATCATGGGCTTCCGGTTGTTTGTGGGAAAACTCAGTGGACTTCCAGATAGACTGTCATGGTGGTGTGCCTCGACTGACGCGTTCGCTGTCATCTCAGCACCCTTTAGGTACTGTAATTCTTTGATTGCTCTGTTTGTAACAAGATAACAAGTGTAAGGAAACCTGTGTTTCTGTGAAAAAATTCTACTTTATTATCGTAAAGTATTATCGTAAGAGCTCGTTCGATGCGGTTCTTGCACTGAAATCAGTCATTCAGCGGTTTTCGGTAGCAGCAAAGATAGTATTAGATACAAGTGTAGCAGGATATAATGATAAATACTTTATATAGAGTGCGTTCTTTTATTGAACATATTACGTACAGAAATGAGCTTTAGCTTATCGTTAATTGTTGTTCGAGTTTTTGCTGTAGTCCTTGTGTCTTACTTGATCGCAGTTATTACGCTTAAACCGCCGAGTTAAACGTATGTGCGGTGAGGTTTTGGTTGAAAAATTTGCCTGGGATAATTTCCACTGTTCAGAGCTGATCCCGATTTCTTTTTCCACATGATGATATTTAGAAGTTCCGTTTTTATTTGACCACGTGGCTATTCATGAATATGCCATTACTGTATGCGTTCAAAATGCTCTGAGTAAATGTGGAAATATTTTGGCCCTGCATAATTTATAATCATTCCAGCAAAGTGGTGCTTTTCCTCTGACAGATCAAAAGCTTCAAGTGGGCCATGATCAAAATTCGAAACAGATACGTGTCGATCGTCAAGAACCCTCTTACTGAAGTCTGAAGCTAAATCCAAGTTAACCGTCCTGGAAGAACAGTCTGCGCTCGTATCGGGAACGCGGGTATGTTATTGTTCACGTGGGACAAAAATATGTGTATGGTTTTGTGATCGACAAAATCACGTGCTGATTTCTATGTTTTGCAGACCGTTGTTCAGCAGTTCGCTGAACTGGAACTCAAACGCACAGATCTGATCAAAATTATTGTTGAATAAAATCACGAACGTGTGGAAATTTATCTAAGTCTGATAATGTTACTCGTATTCGTATTTCGTCGAAATTGAACGGCAAAATTAAACGAGAATCTGATTTTTTTTAAATTTAGTATGTTTGTAGTCTGCAGTATGCCCAGTAATAAAGCACTTAACATTTTTACTTGTTGTTACATTTATAATAATCTATGTAGACTGCTGATTAAAATGTTTAGATATAAACGAAATAGCATCGAAATTCTGAAATGCAGTAAAACGCTTTGTTGATAATAATGTGAGAAACCGAAGGAAGAAACGATAACGGCTGCAGCAAGCGGAATTTTGCTGACGACTAATTTGGTGGATCGTTGCAGAACAATGCTGTCCGACGGGAATTCGATTATGCTAATCCGATGATGGGACTATTGAAGCGCTTCTTCGAATACAAACTCTTCACAGCCGAGGAGCTGGGCCTGCTTTTTCCGGCAGGTGCCAGCACGAGTAGCGCCGGCGGCGGCCCGTCTTCCTCCTCCTCATCCAGCGCGGAACGCGATTGACCACGCACACCGACCCTGCGAAACGGGAAAAAAAGCTGAAGAGCAGAAGAGGGAAAAAACTCTGCTTTCAATTGTGGATAATTCCGTCGCGTGGTGCGTGAGCGCATGTGTGGATAGCAATCGATGATTATAACCGGTTTTGCGCCTGCTGCAAGTGCTGTTTTATATTTCAACGGTACACCTACCGCGTTCTGTTTGCGTTTCGGGGGTACACACGAGTGCATTTTGTTCGTGATCTTTTATTCGTTTGTCGGCACCGACACACGTTTGTACACTTGGTTGTAATTATACACTGAAAAAATTTGGTTTTGTTGATTTACTTTACTGGAAACAATAACACCGTTGCCTGCTTCACAGCAATTTGGAATAATTTATATATTTTCATTTTTTTTATCTATTTTTCTAGTTGCAGTGAAAGACAAAGCTTGTAGTCTTTTGTTAAAGTACTCGAAAAGTGCTGTTGTTGTTCCTTTACTGGATTAAATGCAAAAAAATATACACCGTTGTTTTTCGAGAATGTCGGTAAATGTACCTCATTATTACCATCTATTTACAGAATAGTGAAAAAAGTGTATGAGGAATGCGTAGCTTGCGCGTATTACGTACGTACGTGCTGTGACGTACGTGTTGTCTGTTCCGTTACGTATGACTTGCTGTTCTTATCTTACGCATTTGATCGCTAATTCCATCCATGATTCTGGTTAAACTAATACTAATGAGTCTGAAGTTTCTAACTTCAACTAAATCTGTGAGCTTGTTTCTAGCTGAAAGGTCGTGTGACTCTAGGTTAGAAGGAAGTTCATATCTCGTTCTGTTCTGTTCTGTTTGTTCGTTCGTTCAGTTTGGTGATTAAACATTTGGGAAGTTCCTGAGTGTTTCGGTTTCGGTAACTTTCGTTAGGCACAGCAATCCGCTCGTACCTAGCGGAAGTAGGCAGTAGTACCACTTACGGAGTCCAGAGCGTATTCCCACTCTACCGATTGAGTAGGTTTGGTCATCTAGTGCGGTTGTGGCGGTGCGACTTCCGCATGGCTACCGATCACTTCGGCCGTTTTCATTTCGCCCGTGTTCATTTCGGCCAAACTTTTTCGGCCGCCGTTCATTTCGGCTAAGGCTCACTTCTGCCGCAGCTCATTTCGGCCGGAGATTATTTTGGTCTAATTTGGGCAAGGAAACGTTACTTTTGATGAAACTATGACTAAATGGTACCATAGCTTTTCGAATAACCTCAGAATAAACTAATTATAACTAAAGAATAACCGAAGAATAACCAAAGAAAACCGAAGAAATCTAAGAATAACCAAAGAAAACCTAACAAAACTAAAAAAACCATAAGAAAACCTAAGAATCTTAAAAAAAACCTAAGAAACCTAAGAAATCTAAGAAACCTAAGAAAACCTAAGAACCCTAAGAAACCTAAGAAGTCTAAGAAAACCTAAGAACCCTAAGAAATCTCAGAAATCTAAGAAACCTAAAAAAACCTAAGAAACCTAAGAAACTTGAGAAACCTAAGAAACCTAAAATAATAACCTGGAAAACTTAAAAAACCTTAGAAAACCGAAGCAAGATAGCGAAAATTAGGAAAACTTGGGAAACCGAAGATGGCCAAATGTCCTATGGCCGAAATGAGCGGCGGCCGAAATGAGTGCTGGCCGAAGTGAGCCTCGGCCGAAATGAACGTTGGCCGAAATGAACGCATGCGGCCGAAATGTAACGCGGCCGAAGTGATCGGACGCGATGGCCACCATGGTAACAAGCTTTAGAGTGACCACTGGACTGTGGGAATTGGGCTTGTCTGGCTTTACAAAAAACTAATGATGCAGGAACACTCTCGACACTGAGAGGATTCTGTAGCACTTTAGAGCATGCAGATGGGATGTGTGGAACGGGAGAAAATTGGTTACACCCGCAAATTGTCGGGGACCCTTGTTACGTAGTTAGTATTTATATAACCAGTTTACGGGATCTACATCCGTACGTATTGTCGTGGCGGACATTAGTTTCGAAAATTTCGATTTAAAAAAACGTAAGAATCATATGTGTTCAAAAAATTTTATGAGCGTTAGAATTGTAAGAAGCCTTAAAAACGTAAGAAACATGAGCAACCTAAAAAAACCTAAGAAATCTAAGAAATTTAAGAAACCTACGAAACCTAAGAAACCTAAGAAAACCTAAGAAATCTAAGAAATTTAAAAAAACCTAAGAAACCTAAGAACCCTAAGAGAGCTAAGAAACAAAGCAAAAAATTAGAAAACTGGGTACCCAGTTTTCTAAGCTAATCCATAAATTCAAGCTGACCTTTCCAACACACACTTGCCGAGCGCGAAGCGTGAGTCTTACCTTGTATTTTGTGTAAGACAACTGGTCGCGATCACTTTAAATAAATATTCAGATGACAAAGAACGCTTCCGTTGTTGGTCTTTCGCCTACAGGCGTTGTCTGGTTTGCGGCTCGTCTGGGCTGCAATTTTGCTTCTTCTAGAAAACTCACAAATTCTATTGAAGCTAGAGTAGCCAAGGAAGGTAATAGCCGAAGTTATTCATTCTGGTGCACAACCAACGCAGCGGCGATGCCTATGATTTTACTTGTTCAAATACAATGTCCTGGGCAACAGACCGGTCCATGCTACCCCTATCGCATCCATGGTAACAAGATTTTGGTTGACCACTGGGCTTGAGATTCTGAAGATATCAAACAACTATTGGCATTAGATCACCCGCCAGATCGAGAGGATTTCGGAACAGTTTTAAGCAAGTAAATTGATTGAGTAGAAGCTGAGATTACCGCGTTGGAACAGCAAAGCAGAAAAGCATGTCGCAGCTTTGAAGCGATGTCCAAAGCCGCGACATGCAGGCCCATGGCAACAGTTTGTTTTTGGGGGCTCCTGCTTCTCCCTAGAGGCGCATCGGAATGGCAGTAGCGCAACATTACCCGCTTCGTTGCGACGATTCTGGCGCACTTTATTGCGTCGAAATCGGCCTACCCGTTTGTCCAAACATAATTTTCTTAGCAAAGGCCGTCACGGCTGTTACGGATGTAGTTAACAAGCTGAGCACGGATGAATATTGGCTTACGACTGGGTAAATGAATCAGTTTAAAATTCATAGGTTGCAGTGTATTCGAGGAAGCAATAGCAGTTAGTATTTTGTTTGAAGCAGTTTCGTGCACAGCAGCTAATAGTCTCCTCAGAAGCTTGCAAATGAACTGAAGACGAGCTTGATCATTTGTTTGGTCCGATTTTGGACCATGAGAAACGCAAAGGCGAAGCCAAAGCTGTTTCTTGTTTGAGTACAGTATAATTGTGACCGTGGTAACAGACCAGCCCATGTTAGACCTATGGCATCCATGGTAACAAGCTTTTGAGTGACCACTGGGATTGCGGTTCTGAATTCAACAAACAACGACTGGTCTTAGATCACCCGCCAGACTGGGAGGTTTTCAAAACATTTTGAAGCAGGAAGATCGGATGAGCAGAAGCGGAGATTACCGCGGTCTAACAGGAGAGGCCAAAGACCTGCTAGAGATGTTTAGTATTCATATAACCAGCTGAGCACGGATGAATATTGGCTTACGACTATTTAAAATTACATCGTATCTTCATGTGTTGGATTGTGTTGTAAAGTCAGAATGGCAAAGCCAGACAGCTACTTATTCAGGATGGTTGCCTGCGGTGAGAATCGTGGAGTATTAACCTTTTGCTCGTAAAGTTTTTTGGTTCATGGCTCAGCTGCTAAGTTTCTGCTTATTCTACTGAATTCTACTGAATCTGAGAAGCTGCTGCAGTGGCTTATCAAAGGGCGAAGGGATTTGTTAAGTGTTCACTCAGCCAGGAGAGCACAAGAAACGCAGAGGCGAAACCAAAAATTTTCTTGTTCAAATTTATCATGCCCGTGGCAACAGAGCTGCCCATCTTAGCCCTATGGCACCCATGGTAACAAGCAACATGATCACCTGTGAAGGTATAATACGGTGCCGGCAGTTCGGTTGTCATTATCCTGCACATCCGGTGATACTGTGCGCATGTTTGAGGCATAACTGATAACAGCAGTTACGGAGTGTTGAAAATTTAGTGTATTGCCGGTATTACAGCAAAAACCGGAAAATTCCAAATAAAGTGAAATACTATCGTGCAACGTGCAACATGTAAAGTAATATATAACGATGTTTTTTTGGAATTTGGCTCCTCTGGACTTACTCGTATAATATCATGATCATGTATTCACCCTGTTCATTGTTTGATATGGAATACGCAGTTACGTACATATTCACGATCAGCACTTTGTCCATTTGCTATGCGTCAGTCATTTTCACTTCTGTCTGATGTGAACAAGCTGCCCGATAGTAAGTTTGATCGTGCTATAATGAATTGTTAAACCGTAATTTTCGCATACCATAATTTCTTTCAAATTTCTAATAATTTCTGTATTTTCTTTTTTTTCTTTTTTCGTTGATTTACTATAATTCGGAAGTGTGCGTGATGCCGGTTGAACCGGCGACGTACAACGGTACAAGTGATGTTAATCCGTTTCTGGACATTGTCCATGTTGTGCACCGCGGCAGTTTGTCAGGGTAAGCTAACACGCGTTCGTGCATACGTGTGCCGTATGTGACTTTCCTGTCGTCATCTTGGTGCGTTTTCTGAGGATTTGCTGACAGTAATCCGTGTTTGGCGTCATGATCTGTGGACAAACAAGAAAACAGATAAAAGACAAACTGGTTGGGTTGTCGCTGTTATTTACCGGGTACTGTGTTAGCCTGTTAGGTGTTTTCGAAATAAATATTCGACGAACAAAAATCGAAATCGAGGTCAGTAAGGCATCGGTCAAAAATTTTAGGATGTTTCACTTTTTTGCAGACTGCTTATTTTGCAATCAGATTGCAATGGAAATATTTACCAGCGCATTTCTGAGTGTGCCGGAAGACGCTACGTTCCCATTGGTAGGACTTTTCAATGCATATTTATTTTAAATACGTATTCTAAGAAAAGCAGATGTAGCATAATTCTGTTAAAGTTGCACAAAGTAAATGGTTCAGGTAAAGTGATTGCTCAAGTTGATGCCAAAATTGTTTTCCGAATCACACTCGTCCCCACCGACAACGAAATCGTTACAAAACTCTTCACCGTCGTGGTGCGGAATAATGTTTCCGTTGAGATTAGAACACAGGAAAAGCTAACATTTTTACTGGTAACTGGTAAGCACTATCGTATTTTAATTGCACATTAACGGTAAAAATACTATTTTCTCACGCTAGCATAATTTTGGTGCCGCATAGCCGATTGCATCCCAATCGGATGCACTTACCGGTGTATGTAACTCTTTGCAGCCTCACATCAAAGTTCTCACCATTCAAATGAAGTGTACCGGTCCGAGCTGCAGTTTCACGACCTTGCCCTTTATCATTACGGTTATCGATATTAATGACCATGCACCAGTTTTCTATAATTATCCCTATGAAGCGCATATTAGTGAATTTCACGGCGTGGGACTGGCAGTCCTGGAGGGTGTTACGGCGTTCGACAAAGACTTACCCAACATGTACACCGCCAACACGGGAATTCAGTACAAGTACGCCATTACGGTACGACTACGCACTGGCGGAGTGACTGACCACCAGTTTAATTAAATAAACAAATGCCACGTCGGCATCGCTAAAGCGTTAGCTCATTGTAATTAGGTTAACCAATTTGGGCAAACGTTTTACATATCAATACGCGAATGATGCATAATCGCGTATTTAGTTTATGAGATTGTTATAGTATAAGAATTTGAATAAATGATAATTCTAAGTTCTGACTAGCTTGACTGAAGTAGCTTGAATGTTTTACGTATTATTTACTAATACCTACTTTGTATCAGTGACTTATATGCCAAACTGCAATTGGGCTGGGAGTGGCAGCACCTTTTGATTTGCAATACATTAGTGCTAATTAAACACAGCATAAATACTGATCCTTTTAGCTGTGCTAGCAATTTGCTTCGTAAACTTTCGTTCCAACTTCTGGAAAGTATGTACTTCTTCGATTCACTTAGCTTTTGTAGCTTTTTATTTTTCGTCAACTGAGTTACCGAAGTTCATAAAAACGAAACAGGACGCACATGAGTCTTCAGACAGCATTCAAAGGAAGACGCGAACCTTGTAAAAAGAGGGACAACAGTATTCAACTACAAGAAAGCTTCGCGCAACTTGAAATTGTTGTTCGACATTTTCACAACGAAATTCAAACATTCAAAAGAAAATTAGTAAACCTATTCCCTTACGAACACGTTCGACGGCCAGGTCCTATTCGAGTAGGGTCCATAATCCTTGCGCATGCTTAATTCCATATACTTTCGGTTCTAATGCTACTCATCGTCACTGAAATTTCCCTCCGATTCTACAAAGACAAAACCAATACAGATAGGAACCAGGCGCCAGAACAACGAAAGAACTGCAATTGTACCTGCTCAATAATATTATTTGTATATAGAGTTTTTATTATTAACATTATCTGTACTTATATCTACAGTGGACTTCATAAAGATGTTACGTCTACAGCCGCATAGTGCTATGCATATATGTGGTGTAGATACTTTGCAGCACCATCTTTAAGTCCAGTGTAATTGCCAGCAGCACATTTAACGTATCAAACTGAAATTACTGTGTTCTGATACTAACTGGGTAACAAAATGGTGCTTTGATATTGCCAAATTGAAATCTTGGTTTTAACCGAAAGCCTTCAAGAATTTTGCTACCAGAAAAATGTCAGAAAACAGATTAATGTGCTCAGCGTCATAAACACCTTTTTAAGGATTACAATAGCCACAGAATAAACGGTTTCTCTGTGGATTACTCACCATAATTTTGTCAAACAAATGCTTCATCATAAAGCTAGGATGATGAAGCATAAATTATGACAAAGTCACATTACGTTCAAAAATAAAATTTAAGAGAAAATAAACGCGAGCTAGGTACTATAATATAAAATTAGAAAAAGCACTCACCAGTGGTACAGTATGGCGCCTTTCTTTCCAAAACCACGCTCCATTTTTTGGCTCGAGATCCGTACAGAACACCCGAATGGCAAACCTTGGCTGACACAGATCTTTCCATAATTATAAAATCAGTAAGTCTTTTTGGTTGCAGGCCGTCACACAGTACAATGCGCATCGAGCATCTCACAAACGGCAAATTATCCCGGAAAGTACGTCCGGGCAACAGCCAGAAGCTAAGGGCGCGGATTTTAAACTGAGTTTTGATCTTCAAACCACCGAACCGGCACCTAAGTCGATTTTGTCCAATCTGACCACGAAACGTAATGGAAATCGGAAGAGAAGTTCCATTAAAAATCACAGGATTAACGGTCGAAAAATAGAAATATTTAATGCCGGCGTGCATTAGAATGCACAACATCGGAAAGCCGGCAACTAACAGGAAGTTCAGAATAATTTTCCATAAATCCGAAGTCTTCCACGAGGTATATAAATCGTTTATGGCACTTGAAGCGTGCGAGCCCGTGAATGCAATCAGGATCATTTTAATATTTTCCAGAGTAGGACAATCGACGGATCCGAAGGACGAAAACAGTATCAGCAAAATCAAAGCAATACGAATTCCACGGAATCGGGAGCTGAAGACGGAGAGCAGACTGCTGGTTAACAATGGTGTGTATGCAATGGGAAACGGAGCTGTCTTCTGTAGGTAGCCAATCATTTCTTCGTGAGTTTTAAACTGGTAGGGAGCAAAAAAACTGGAATGTTTCTGGATGGCGGCTTCCAGCGTTCCCGCATTGTATCCTTGGATCTGGTCGATGGCTTTTCCATCTTTGAATATCACGAAAGAGGACTGCAATAAAAACGAATTCGTCAGCTACTGGAAATCTGGGATGCGAGAATTTACATGGTACAGTACCGCTTCCAAGCCTTCTATATAATTCCCAATCAAACGCAGGAAGTGCGAGTATAATTATTTTGGTACAAGTGTTAAGACTAATAATTTTTTATTAAATTAATTACTTCATACATCCACGGTCGGTCAACAATACTACTCCCTAGTTAGGTATTAGTGTTGGATTTAATCGGTATCTGTACTTACTATCATATCACTTTAAAGATTACCGACTGGCAATAAATGAGGAAATCGAGTTCCAGTTTTTTTGAAAAATTTATACGTTTGCGATTTTTTAATACTGTGATTGAGCCAAGTTACAGTACTTCTTGCCTCATGAATACATGTACTGTACGATATTAGGTTTACGCAACAGGTAGTTAGAGCAACTTTTAAAAATCTGGAATTTCTATCAAAAGCAATCGTTGAACTATGCAGATGCTACAGTACTCACAGTGGCCGTAACGTTGTACTCCTGATGGATATCATCAGCCTTGTCCATGTCCACCTTGACGAACTGGACGACATTCGCGTACGTGCGAGATAAGTGATGATAAGGTACCGCGATCTCATCAACGGACGATGACGAATAAAATTTAGAAATGACCAGTTTGGCTCCAGCTTCCCGCAGCAATCGATTCATGTCGTATTTTGATTTTATGGACTTCAGACTAGGCATCGTAATTGTCGATGGGAAATAACGGCAGAATTCTCAAACGGCGGGCTTACCAAATATCAATGAAGACTAGAAACGGCTGAATATTATTGTAATATTGTTATAACGGGAAGAAAAGTGCAAATAATGCAAAATCTTTCGCGGCCTGTGAAGATGAGGCGAGCAGCTGGCAAAATCCAGGCACGAGCAGCTGCAAAAGAGTGTACCGCGGTACACTGTGCAAGCTCTCAGGTTGAATAATAAGTGTATTTTAAAGACTGAAAGTCTCTTTAAACATACTAAAAAACTCTGTATGTCCGTACGACGTACGAGTTCTACTGGGTAGTATGCCACTGGCAGTATGCGTTATAGAATTGCCGCATGGTCAGTTCGGTACGGGGATTACGTCGCAAACGCAGTTTTAAATGAAAATTAAACTGACCAGTGAATATCCATCCTACTGTACTCGTACTATTTGTTCATTAGCTAATTCGACCTGCTTTGGCTCTCTTCAACGAAAAAAGATAAAGTACAGTAAGTAAAAGTCTGTAATAAAAAATATCATGTATACCTTTACAAAAAATAAATTACTTTTGTTCTTTGTACTAACAATAAGTGTTGTCCGGTAGTTCTTTCTGTGCCGTTTGTGCGACATGTTGCGGACCATAGTACAACTGTAACATAATAAGTTGCCGCCAAGCGTTGTCGTTAACGCAGTCTGCAGAGGTTTCGATATCGATCAGCAGATTCTTCGAAGCAACATTTGTAATTGTACAATTTTGCAGTTCTATCTAGCAAAGCACGGCAGCCGTGGAAATGTGCATGTGAAATGTGCAATTTGACCTGTTCATTGCCAGCTAATCCAACAGGTTATAATTTACAATTATCGCAATCCACAAAACCTAATTGTAAGTAGTCAAAATCTTTTGTGGTAAACATGCTTTTATGAACATACTCCAAACATCGGAAACTAAAGTGACGTCTGGGTTTACTGCTGCATAATAACAATGTCACCACTAAATTTTATTTTACAAGTAATACGAGTACAAATATTCCAAGCACAGTTGGTTTACATATCTATACTCAGTTCTCTTGTCGCCACTTTTTACAAACATTTCCAGTTTGTCCATTGTCCAGTTAACAACAGAGATATCTGACCGTCACACGCACATACATAGATCGATAAGAAATCTGCCCAGTATTACATAACCGCGGCATTAGTATTCGTAGGTCGACTTCTTTTTCTTGCCATAAGTCGGTTTGGTCTCCTGGTAGTCATCTTCCGCCGGTTCCTCGTAAGTTTCAGCGGGTGCGTAGACTTTCTTCTTTGGCGCGTATTTCTTTGTTGTCTTATACGTCGGCGCATAGTCATCTTCGTATTCTTCGTCATACGTTTCTTCCTTCGGTTTTGCGTACGTTTTCTTGGGCTTGGCAGCAGGTTTCTTCTCGTAAGTCGGCTCATAACCTTCTTCCGGCAGGTCATCATACGATACCGGTTTCTTCATCTTTTCCGATTTTGCGGGTTTATAGGCAGTGCTGTTGGCGTATCCAGAATCTGCAAAAAACGGAAATTTCTTATTGAAAGTACGACATCGCGCACAAAAATTCTAATAAGAGCCGGAATACATTTAAAATCTGCTTACAATTAGACTGACTGACAGCTTTGTGATGAGCCCACAAATAAAAACCGTAACGATATATTTCCTACGCATAATGATTAGACAACAATTTTATTTGGTTGACTGTAACTAATGGCTTACCGGATAAGTATGACATGGTGCAACTAACGGAATTACATTTACACACTATACCGTATTCTTCCGTTTCCTGTGTATAGCTAGTTTTCTTTGTTTTCTTGTAAGGCTTCTGTGGTTGTTCATATTCTTCTACAAAGTAGCTATAGTAATCAATTCATTCCATGCAGATCCTATCACATAACATACGACATATCCCATATATTGCCCTGCTACCTGCGACCGATAAAAGTAAACAGCTAGATACACGTACGAGTTTAAAAGCATCACCACATAAATATTTGCATACTACTGCAGCAAAAAGATGCAACTATTATCTGACTCAAATAAATCGTAAAGAAATCAGTAAGTAGAGCAAAATTATTGATTGACTTTCGTCAATATTATGAAGTCAGAGCGATAAAATATGTATATCAAGGCAAATGCAAAGTTTCAAAAAGGCTAAAAAATTTCTGCAGTTTGTCCTCCGAATTATAGCTATATAATTTGAGATTACAATCGCTGATAAATATTAGGAGCATTTCTCTTATGATTGTGTTAACCTTACAAATAATTACCAGAATTGTGCAGGCTGCGTTTACTGACCTTCTTCGTAGGCGGGTGCTTTTGCGGGTTTTTTATAAGTTTTCTTCGGCGTTGCATAGTCGTACGATTCCTCCTCGGGTTCTTCGTATGTCGTGTTGACCTTTTTTTTGTATGTTTTCTTGTAAGGCTTCTTAGTGGTTTCGTATTCGTCTTCATAAGTATCGTAAGTGTCGTTCATTGGTTTTTTATACACTGGTTTTTTGTAGGGTTTCTTTGTAGTTTCGTAATCCTCGTCGTAAGTGTCGTAAGTGCTGTTGACCTTCTTGTACGCTTTTTTGTACGGCTTTCTTGTGGTCTCATACTCCTCTTCATATGTATCATTGTACATCTTTTTGGCGGGCTTTTTATATGGTTTGGGAGTGGCCTCATAATCATCATCATAGGTACTGTACGTCTGGTTGTCTTTTTTGTAGGCCTTCTTGTAGGCTTTGGTGGTGGCATAATCATCAGCATATTCTTCATACGTCTCCTCTTTCTTCTTGTAAACTTTCTTCGGTTTCTTGGTGGTCTCATACTCATCATAACCTTCATCGTAACTATCGTCGTATGTCGTGGCCTTCTTTTGGTACGGTTTCTTGGCGGTCTTTTTCATGGAATATCCGGAGCCACTGGAATTGTAATTGCTGCCGTAGGAATCCTCCGCCGGTTCTTCATAGGTGTCCTCATCGGTATATGCGGTCTTTTTGACGGTCTTCTTCGGCTTCGGCTGGTAGCTTCCGGTGTAGGCATCGTCGTCGGAGGCGGACGGTGCGGCGGCTTTTGGGCGGGAACCGGAACTCATGGATGATTTGGAGCTTTTTTCGGATCCGGAACTTCTGCTGGGTGTGTCATCCCAACCATCCAAATTTGGTCCTGCGGGTGCCGTTAGTACAACGCCGAGCAAGAGCGCCGTAGCGCTTAATGATAATATTAACCGCATTGCAAAAGTAATTTTAAAAAACTTTGATAACGGTCGAGTTTATCCTTATTAACAATCGTATACTTGTATCAAAAGATTGTAGACTACTGACTGAAGAAACAAATAATCCCTGCGACCATGAAAACGAGCGCCGGAAGTTCACTGCACTGTAATTACTTTCCAGTGATCTTGTTATTATAAGGAAATGGAATGAGGATCGGGCTTATGTAAGTTGTAAAATCTGATCACAGTTTATAGGAAGAGACGTTTCTTCTAAAAAAAAGGTTTACTTGATCGGCATCTGCAGTTGTTACCTAATGGTGAATAAAGCAGTTTATCGGATGTCTCTGCTAATCAGATGCCGCAGTTTTGGAAGGATGTTTGTTGTCGATGAAGTGTAGAATTCTGGAGCGGATTCGATGAGCAAAACTTAATCAGTAAATTCACAATCAGCTTACGTAATAATTTAACTTAAAAACATGCACATAAAGCAACAAAGTTTTTTTACACGAGTGCGCTTAATTATAGCAATTCAGATATATATTTATTTATTTTGTTTCTTTTTGTACATACAAACGTGTAAATGCAATTTAATACACACCTTTGATTTTACGAGTACATACAAATGCAAAAAAAAGTTGGTCTAGACCAAATCCGACATATTCACAAAACAATCAGGCTAGTTAAAATGCTGTACAACATAAACTTTTCGGCACAATAACAGACAGCTGTGTGACAGCTATATCCAACATGCCAAATTCGACTGCAATAACTCCACAGCATCCGTCCGTTGCATCACTCGGAGATGATCCAGTAAATCCGATAAGGCCGTTTCCTCGCGATTACGCGCTTCCCACAAATCCAGAATGTGATCGGTTGGACTCGGCTTAGTGGCGAAATAATTTATGTACCTGATTAAGAAGTTGCGATCAGTGTAAGTAAACACCAGAAAATTTAAACATAACAGGAAACTAATTTCGCCGGTTTTTACCTGTCAACCTGCATTCTTTGTGCGAGCATTCTCCAGTCATTCCCGTGAGCCTTCGGTACATCCAGTAATGAACAGAATTTTTTCCTCACCGGTGCGGGAATGCGAAAAAATTGCTTGCTGGTGGTGACGTCACCGGTTGACCCAAACCGGCTTACTGTATTGGTCATATTGGCGTAGACGGGTTTCGAATTTGTCTATAAAATTTTCAATCAGTTAATTTCACAGAAAAAGCTGTATCTGTGCGTGTACTCTGTAGCGTTCCGCTCTGTACGTAGCGTGCCATATTTATAACCCTTTTACGTTAAAAATAACCACTATTTATTTTCAATATGTTCTGTTGATTATGACGTGTTTCTCGGTGGTGAATCCACATGAAAAGTTTTACACTTTTACCTGAACAAACGAATTTCCTTGCATGACAAGTGTATGAGCATTATTGCTGTCCATCTGGCGCACAACAACTGAGCACTGAGGAAAACTCCTCACAGGATGCATCGTTGGCTCCAGTGCAAAAGCGGCATGGAAAAAATTCTGCTGGCAGGACCAAATGTGGCAGAACGGGATCTCTTGGTACTGCACATTGGACTTTAGCTGCCATCCATCCATAATGTCTTGCACGGAAAAGGTCAAAGGTCGTCCGCCGTCGTGAAAGCGCATCACCTGGGCTTTGTCCATCAACGAATAGCCCAGCTCCTCTTCCTGTTTACATACAGCCTGGAATAAAAAAACATATATTTGTAAAAACATAAAAAGCTTGAAAAAACAACAGTAGTATTATAAGCAATAATGCCATAATGGATAGAAGTTTCCAATTTTTTATCCGATCGCGAGTATAATCTACAGATACTTGGTACGTACAAGTACACAAGTATATACGTCCTTGACTCCTTATAATTTAGTATGCAGCAAACAAAATTTTCTACTAAATGCACAATTATAACGCAACCGTAGAAAAATCATCCGCTTACTTCTAATGCATCTTTGGTATCTTCCAGACAATATATCCGTAAGTAATAGTCCGGTAGCAGTTTGTCGACCGGTGCAAACAGCGCCAACTTGAGATTCTTCACCGCCAGCGCATTGGGCTTGGACTGACCGACCAGGGCATACCGCCCGGGGATGTCGGTCATAATGTGGGCTTTCTTGGCGTCCAGCTGGACGTAACACGGCGTGTTGATCGTCTCCTGGCCCAGGATGGCCATTTTCCGCCACTGACCCTGGCCTTCGGTGATGGATTCATTATGCCACACGTGGAGATTCCAGTTATTGGCGTTGCCGATCTGCGCGCAGTGGTTGAAGGACAGCACGACGGATTTACCCAGGCAGGCATCACTCGTTCCCAGTAAAATCACCGGGCTTAAAAGTGTCTGGTGTTCTGGAAAAACAAATTTGTACAATTAAATACGGGTCTTTAAAAGCCGTATAAATGCCTTAAAAAACGTTATGCCAATAAAAATTGAATAATTAACTAGAAAAATCAATGCAATCATTGCAACAATGTTTAGGCATATGGACTATCTGAAATGTTTTCGAAGCTCCATAAAATTTTAAAACTGATCCACGGGGACCAGGACGAATTAACTATACATATTCCATTATCATAAAAATAATAATAGGAGTGTGCGAATATGTAATCAATACATATCAATACATATATAATTAGCCGGAACGTACACACACAATCTAGAATATTCCGCCAAACTGTATATTTAATCATGATTATTTACCTGCCATCCGGGGGCGATCGGCATTATTACGGCAGACACCCAAGCAGAACTGCACGCGCCGGTTCTTTTTCACGCAACCCTCCGGGACCGTTAAGCGCACACCGGAAGTATCCACACTCAGCTGTCCACCGGCAAAACCCAACACCGACAGCGCCATGCACTCGGGGTCCTGGAGGAGGGGCGGGATGCCGCCAGTGCTGGAGGCGAACGACTGCTGAGAATCCGTGGCAATGAGCGGATTCAGTGGTGTCAGTTCACTGGGTTCACTTTCCGATTCGGCATAGGTGGAGGAATTAGCGGAGGACGGTATAGACGCTTTGTATGATGCCTGATCAAAGAATTACTTTGTGATGTGTTTTCTTATTATACATACACCTTTGATCACTGAACAATTTTCATAATAACTGAGAGTTCTTAAAGCCTTAAATTATCTTTTTCGAGAATTATTTACCTGTGAATCACAGCGAGGTTTTTCAATAGAACTTTCGGATCTGCAGCTCGAATTCATCTCGATTAATGGACTCTGGCTCGTCTGAGTCGGACTGATCCGTAAGTCGCGGAAATTGTCCAGAGTCTGCAGAGAAATAAGAAATTTTCATTAGCATAGTGACCACACATACGTCAAAATATGTGCTGAAATGTTACCGATATATAAATAAGACTTATAACTGGTTCTAGGCTTTCAGTAACAGTACATGCATGTACATATAACAAGTACGTACTGGCAAACCACCTTAGAAATCAAAATAAAAATTCATCATTTTAAATAACACGTAATTTATTTTTTATTTTTAGTTTGACTAGCCCACATGTTTGTATGTGCTTGTCCGAGAAAAGGTGCTGGCAGTTGGCAGCAATGCAGCCGTTGCCCAAGTTCAAAACGATATGTAAATACGCCGCATGTAGTGCACTTGCCTGCCCAGTTTTTGCCAGCAGGATGCCGTCTTTCCCTAAAGGCGGCAACATCATGGAAAAATTTGGTGGACATGGTATGCGCAAATGCTGCTTTATATCCGGATGGTAATGCCGGTTATCTAAAGAGCACCACAATGAAAACTAAAGCACGAAGAAATCCCAAATAATTTTATGAATGTATTTGGAATTAGTTAATGGATTATTGTTAATCAGAATTATAATATAAAAAACCTTTGAGAAACCTATCTGTATATTTGATAATTAATAACAATCACCACGTGCTGTATTTGGCCAATTTCGTTGATTTATTATGGAATATTATACCTTCGAGAAAAAGATGGTTATGTTCTGGATAAAAGAGAGGTTTGGTCAGATGAGGAGAATAGAGATCCACTGCAGAGGAAAATTTAGAATATAAGATTACACTCATTGGAAAGGATAGTTAAAAGCGGAGCGGATCTTATACAACTCTTAAACAAGCAGCGGAAATCTAAGACGGCTGTATGCTCGCATCAGCAGAGAAACACACTGGACCAGGCCACTACGATAAGCAAAAGGCTTTTCCAACCGGAAAATTGACCTTCTCACGTCACATCCTCATGCATTAAAAGCAGCATGCGTCATTACCATATCGCTACCCAAATGAGCAAAACTGGGCCAAGCATTCGGCAATACATGCTCATCCCAATTTATAATCGAAATCTCTCAAAAATGTGCAAAATCGAATTTTGTTAGAAAGTGCCGGAAACGGCAGTGACCTTTCCCAGCTAAACCCATTCCTGGGAAATTGTTTTCCATGCTGGGTTGATAAATGGCTTTTAATATGGTTTTTTACGCAACTAATCGGGTTCGTTAACCTTCATGTGACATGCAAAAAAATGAGTTTTTTTAATATTCTGATAAATGTCATGCAAAAACTTGGTGTTGCAATATCGAATATGATAAATGTTGGTGCAGTCGTCCTACCATTAGGCAGATCGTAGATGGGCTGATTGCGTTTCCGTCGGACAACGATGACAATAACGGCCAGCAGGAGGATGATGGTCGCCGTGGCCGCTCCGATACCGACATACATCCGCCACGTTGATTTAGGCACATCTTGGTCAATTTGCTTTGGATCATCTGTGCCGATAAAGAAGGGGGGAACTTCAACCGCATATCAAACAAGTAAATCGACTTGAACATAACATGATTCAGAAGAGCACTGTAACTGTCTCTGTGTGTAAGTAATTTCTCTCTATGTTAGACAGTAATAGACTAAGATGGTGCAGATAAAATGGAATGAGTATTTAAAAGTCGCCGGAAGTTGTTGATGATTCGGACCAAGCGCGCATGCATGCCCGGCTTCCGCGGCTGACCTCACCAGCGGATCGATATAATGCGCGTATTTGGCAGTCGCCGTAAATTGGTAAAAAAGGTCAAGATACAAACCGACAACTTTACTTAATGGAAAATTTCCATAATATAAATACGTCTAACGAGGAGAACGGCTTTGAAGTAGATAATTTACCGATTTCCGCTTCAATTTCGTCGATAACACCGGCAAATTTATTGTAGAGACTGTTGCCGCCTTTATCGTACCGGCGCAGATGATCGGCTGTAAAAAAGAGAGCTTTCTAATGGCTTTTGTAAATTGACAAGTATGCGTTTAGTTTTATTGGGGGTCGAGGTTAGAACTTACGCCGGCACATTCCACCGGTACAGTTGCTGGTCTCCACGTCCGCTCCGCTGCAGTATGCACCGCCATTACTCGGTGGCGGATTAGTGCATGTGCGGCGCCGCTGGCGTAAACAGTCTGGATTACATGTTGACCATTCTGACCACATCGACCACTGACCATCTTCCGCTGCAAAACATAACCAGACAAACAACGTCAGTAGTGTTTGTACAATTATACGCAAAGTCAGTATGTGCAACAGTTTAATTTGAATCACATTTTGCTCAAATCTTTCATATGCCGGTGAATAAAATTACAAAAATTTCTACCTTAAGTTTCTTTGTCGCATTTCTTTGTATACAGTGATTACTACTCAATATCAAAACATTTTGATATACAGTTTTGTAAGCGGTATTACTGTAGGAACAGAAAATTGTATAATAATTCTAGTTTGAAAGCTGGGGGAAAATAAATTACTAATAAACTTATTATTGTTTGAGAATAACTATAATTCCTCTACACTACCCAGATTTTATTTATTGATATTTGTTTGTAACGAGGGTACAGTACTAGCTACTGCGTTAGACGTTAATTAAATTGATGATACACAGACGTGCAGAATAGGTGAAAATCCGTGAGAAATACAAGATTACAACATGGGCCGACATACCTATTATTCCCAAATAAATGGTTATGTTGCCTGGAGTGAAGGAGAAAAGAAGGGTGCAGTGAAAATGGGGTTACACACAGGAAACCGTTAGTGAGATTCACAGCACTAGACCACCAACCCAGCATGCAGCACCGGCGCACACACACAGTATAAAAATGCCGGTATTTGCACAAGCAGCAGTCTTTTCTTACCTGGACAAATGACAGTGCAGTCCGCTTTCTGCACAGGACTTCCGGGACACGGTAGTCCGCCATTTAATGGTTCAGGATTGTTGCATGAGCGGAAGCGCTTTTGTATGCCGCGGCCGCAGCGTGAATCGCATGCTGTCCATTCACCGTATGCCGACCATCCGCCATTTACTGTACAAAAAGGGAAAATAATTCATTACAACCCGTTATTACTTCGCCATGGAATGGATAACGCCGGCAGTTAATTAACAAATTCAAAACTACCGTTTAGCAATAAGTTTTAAATCAATCTTACATATCTAGAATTACGATAAAATCTTAATTTATGCGAGGATTTATTTATGTAATATACCTCTCATCGTATAAGCAGTCATTAATTCACACAGCCACATAGTAATACTGGGAAGCGATCGTAAGAAATAAATCACTTTCTAAAACTACTTTAAGCATTGTCTGATACTTGAGAAAATTTGTGTCTAATGTTTCACCATTAAGCGAAATTTGGAATGAACAGGGCGATTTTAATAGTCGTGTTGTCGTAAATATTAAAAACGCTCTACGCTATCGGATATCGACCGGCAAGCTATGGCTGTTCCCATGGGCCTTATCAATACTGATCCAGTTAACTTAAATTCCTCCGCATTTTCTCCCCCTCAGCGCACTTGAGCCCTAAGCTGCCGGACAGCCCAATGGACGCGGATATATGCACCACAATTTTAATCAAATAATGATCAGATTTACTCCACGGAGACCAGATGATTAAACGGAATTTTTAGTGTATAGAACAAAAAGGGACCCAAGAAAACTGGATGACAAAAGCAAAAAATTTCTCGCGTGGGTAATTTTGGTAAATCACTCCAATAAAAAGAAAAAAATATGCCCCAATTAGAGCAGAAAAATTTATGGAAGCATTTTGTGCATACCGTTTTAAATCCGAAATTAGTTTGTGTAATAAGCAGAAATTCACTAAAAAGAGTATATCGAATGATCAAATATCTAATTGAATGTGTAGAAATCTTACGAGTGAATTTATTGCCGTGTTCGTTAGCTCACAGTGAAATTCAATCTGCGGCGCATTTAATAGCAATAAGATGGACATTACGTCTACGCGTCGCGGTTATTTACATACCGTAAACAGTGAGGATGGCCGACGCACTCAGTCGCCGACTGGCAATGTTTTTCGCTCCACACGTATAGTTCCCCGCATCGGCCAGCCGGGCCTGATGGAGAATTAATGCCCCATCATTGGAAATGATGAAATTTGTATCTTTAGCCGGATCGATGGGATCACCGTCACGTAACCAAAACACTTCCGGCATCGGGGCGCCCTCAGGCGGTAAGCATTGCAACTGTACCGGATAACCGGCTTCGATGGACGTATGGACGGGTTCACGCGGGAACTGCTTCCGTAAGTCTAAGAAAAAGAACAACAAACAACTTTGACCTGTGTGCTGAACATATTTATTCCATTAGGAGATTAGCGATTCGGAAGACTTGTATCGATCCAAGTTAAAAACATCGATAAGCATTTCTGCTTTAAAAAAATAAAACAAGTTTTTACCCGAAAGATCCGCATAGGAATCGTAAAACAATACTTATGTCCTTTTCTGATAACCCAATAATGCCCATTTATAAAGAAGAATATTTGCCAAGTTACATATTATATAAAAATTACTGACTGCGGAATATACAAAATATCTTTCGAGAAATTAAAAAAACGATGTTTCACTAGTCATGTTATGTTTGCTGTTCCTTTTTTATCTCTGTATCGTTTACCGTATTACAGTTTTTCATACAAATATGCTACAATTTTTGCTTGTTATAAGTAAAGACATAAAAAACGAGCGTATCGTTTTTATTTGCTTACAAGCAATTTGAACCTTCGCCTTCTGACTTTCCACTACGGTCTTCGGGCCGGACCAGGCCACGCACGCACACCGGTACACCTCAAAGTATTCCTCGACCTATAAACGCAAGAAAAATTGAGGATATATCATAATTGAATCCCCTTATAAGAAAAACCGTGGGACTACACAATATGTAATTGTGTTTTGCCGGCATGCATGCATACGACGGATTAGATTTCACATATTGTGATCAGCGCGCGCGCACGCCGGGATGGTGATTACGCAAAAATTGAATCGAGGTCAAGATGGGGACTGCATCTGTATATTATGGGAAATTGCGCACCTGGCTGCGGGTGACCGTAATCTCCGAGTCAATAATCCGCGCACCGGTCTGCGGGTCCACTCGCACATCACTGCGTACCGACTTGGGCCGCACCCATTCGTCGTTGCATTTGAAGTTGACCTGCGACGCATAGCGGGCACTGCATGTCAGGGTGGCCACTTTGTTTTTTGTACTAATGTAGGTATCTTCCGGATGCTGTGTGAATTGTGGGGTCTTCGTGGCATCGAACGTTCCGTCCGTCGGCAGTGGATCCAGTAAATACCCCCCGCCAACTGCTACAATATAAATAGCATGCATCGATTAATGGTTCTCCGCTCAGAAAAATACGTACCACATTCGAAGTTTTTTTTGTCATCACGGCATTTTTATGCAAAGTAAATTTTATTTTTGAAGTGATTACTAAAAATAACTGGACGTTGGGATAATCAGTGTTGATGCGATATTTATTTTATACCGGAACAAATTACAAGAATGGCCGGTTACTGGTTGCAATAATTTACTGTATGAGACGCTTGTGAAATAGGTTAATATATTTATTCATACATTGCATAAGGCTTTTTGCAATTATATAGTACGCTAAGCATCTGCTTTGATGCCGGCAGCAAGATAAGTTTTGCCGGTTACACTCGTGTTTGCAACACATTTTAGCAAATGTAGGTTGACCGGAAATGCACAACAATATCGACCGGAAGTATTCTACATAACCAGAGAAAAAACAACTAACAGCAGCTATTAGCCGTCTGCATTTAACGACAATCTCCCGAATCTGACCAGAATGACCAAACATCACCCGCTAAACGCTGACTACTGCACTTACTTCCTTGAAAAGCGATCAAGAAAAGGAAAAGTGTATAGGCATTAGGAAATCTGTACAAAATGCAAACAAATCCCGTGGATGATAAACACATCCTGCCTATTTTCAGGCAAATGATTTTAAACAATTTGTCAAAGCTAAATCAATAGACTCATGGCTGGCGTGGCTGCTAGCTGCTGTCTGCATAAAGATCGCTATTCCCTCTCCATATCACACTTGACAAAACTAGGTTGATCACAAGTATTATAAAGCAGAAAAACGCTCAACTTAAAAACGCTGCCTATATACATACGCACACACAGCTCCGGCAGCATTTCAAATCAATATAACCGTATAATAATTGTGTCAACTGTCAGTAAGACACGACAGAAAACAACAAGATAACTTAATCTACCCTAGTATAAGAATATACCGGGTATATACTGTATATCGCGTGTATGTGTGTATGCGCTACTTGATGAGGATGATATACCTAATGTCAAGAGTGCGAATATCCTCCACCACCCCATCCTTAAGCATGTCTCAGATCGTCAGCTGTCAAAAAAACGCCGTACACATGTATCACTGAGGAATCTCGAGGACGCAGCGACGCTTTTTTGATTGATATTTATATGGGGCACGCGGAGCAATAATAATTGGAGAAAAACGCCGAGAAAATCAACCACTTAACATGCTTTAAACCAAATTCCACGGTTAGCCGGAGAATATATAAAAAATGTAATGGTCAATCATTCCAACGACCGTCAACAAGGACACTGTGCCAAATAACACCTCCAATTAAATGCACGTCTAAACGTATAGATGCAAGAACGAAATATTCATATATACGCCGCTTGTGTTAAATCCCCAAAATATTATTAATGTCAGCAGATGGGAGTAAGTAATCGAATTATTGTTACAGATTAGACCAGACATTAGCGTTTGACTGTTCAAGAAAATGATTCATATGCGCCGGAGACGGAGAGAGTGATCTTGAAATGCTCACAGGCTACTGCGGTAGCAGTGCCGGCTATATTGCTCTAGCATAACAAATCGCTTTTATTGAAAGAGAATCGCTGCAGTCAATCTGGGCGGGATTCGGCTGGGAATTGCTGGGGCTTCCCTTGTTCTGCATATATCTACACATGCACAGAAGAGCCGGGGCCGGCCAGTTCAAGTGTCCTCCCCGGTTGCCCCAACAATTTCGATACAATAGACAAGAGCTTCATTAAGCACCGATTATCATCCACTAATGCTCGAATAATCAACTTAGTAAATAATAACTCATTTATACTGTGGAAGTTCACTATTGCATAATAACGAGGGGGATCATCAGACGGAACCGGGATTGCGGTGCTGGCGTAACGGCCATATTTACGATATGTCGATTACTCATGATGATGGGAATATATCACGGGGAACATAATAATTCATATTATATGGGTAATCGGAAATGCAGCAACCAGTGAAAACATTTGCCGAGCAATTTGCCGGGCTCGGATTTGACGTAAACAACTATGTTCACCCTTTAATGTCAGAAGTTATTTTAAATTCGAAAAGCATTTAGAAACATTAACATAGTTCAAAATCAGAAATTTACAGTTAAAAGAATATAACTTTATTGATTTCAGGGTCAGTATACGTAAATAATAACCGTTAATTTTTTAATAAGTAAATATTTCATAAAGCAATTTTTGTTATGAATAAGCGCACGGGCGTGCCCAATTCATAAATAAATATGATTTCTCATGCTTCTCAACACCCTTACTCACAGCAAATTGTTTTCCACTTTTAAAATCTTTGCTTCTGAAGATTTATTTATGCACTCTGTTTCGACAGCAACTGTTGAGAATTAATGCCGCAACGCATTAGCTTACTGAAGTAGACGACGCATCAGTGAGCTGGCCACCACTAACACATTGTTCTCATCTAATCAACCAAACACAAGTGAGTCAATGCGTAATTGACAATAAAAACGTCCCGAAACAAGAGTGAGAACTGGTCAGTTCATTATTTTTTAATCCACTTCGTACTGGATTATCGCAAGAAAATAGTCTTATCTAATTAATTAATTAGTTAGCGTTATAACTGGCTGACTCTTGATCACTGTGTCCTCAGTGTGGCCTGGTAGTATCGTAATAAATTATGCAGAAATAAAGAACACTTTATTAAATGGATAGCTTAAATGCGAATTGTAGCTTGAACGCTTAAGTATAATTTTGTTCCTTAACGATCTAAACTGACCAGTTTTCGGTACGCCAGCCATATGGCACTGCAACCGCCATAATACTACTTATTATGGGAATTCCGCATGGCATAAGAAGAAAATTACTAACCATTAAAAGCGCTTTTTATCTCTTGTGAAATATCAAAAGAGCACAGCGCCCAAGTTGGTTGTGTCCCAGAATGCTTATGCTAAAATCATTAAGATGAACTGGGTTAGATTAGAAGACAGAGTTAGACAGGACACACAAATATATATATTGTATTGTGTATATTATATATGAGCATATATAAATGTCGCCGGTTTTAGCCCTGGCACCAGAACCCACATCTTATGCATTTATCTAGATGAGCCGTCGTCGTCTATCTGCCGGCAAGAAAATCTTTCTAAGTGGACGCGGGGCTGGTGCAAGGAGCAGTCTGTCTAATCTGTAAGGAAAATCTATCCGGCAAACGTTGTAAATATATTCTCCGAGCGTCCTCATCATAACCGGACAGAGTCTGGTCAACAGCGTGCACATATATATACGCGCGACTGCCATTAATTAAATAAAAGGCATCCGAAACGTCAGGCCCCGGAAAAGTGTCCTCGTTTCTTTATCGGCAGGCCACATCAAGTAGTCTGGGACGAAATTGCTCTTTTAATGACATGAAAATGATTGATAATTAGGTAAAAAGTCGAGACCCAATTAACGGCGACGCGGTGCCTGCTCCACAAAAGGGCTAACGAACGGCACTAGATCTAATCCAGAGAAAATATTTTGCCAGCTGACCATGGGAGGTTGGCGGAGCCAGAAGGCGGCTTACAAATATTTTACCCTGTACGGCAATAAAAATACGTTAATTAAGATAGCCAAATAAAAATATTCGGCATAAAGTTTATGGTTGCTTTCGTGTAATGCCTCATATTCAACATTCTGGTGTTTATGTAACGTATTTCTATGTCCAAACTTGAAGATATTCTTTATGAGGCATTATTTATACGATTTATAAATATATAACTTATGTCAAGTTATGCAAAGTTATTTTGACATCTTAAACTTTATTGATACTTGTACAAGCGAAACGCCATTTACACTTGAGCTTAAGAAACCGATAATTAGCCGATTTTGGCCATTATCGTAAACCATGATTGCATACAACAACAAAAAATATCGCGACAATGCCTACAATAAATATCGTAATACAAAAATTCTGGCATCATAGCGTCATTAATTCATAGCGGTGTTGATCGACGGAAGAGCTTATTGTATCAGCATAATCAGTGGCTATTCAGTCCTATTCTCTCTAAACTTGGCATTATTTGTCTAGACGCACTGTACAGCATTGATCAGTAGAGTAAACAAATTCGGATGGACACTGTCCAGCCGACCTGTCCGCTTCTCACCAATATGCACAGCAGTATATTAATACACTCAAAACTCCGTACAGCGCAAAATTGTAAAGCAGTTGCAAAATGAGGCCACAAGAGTCCGGCTGATTATCAGCCACTTAGCGGGACGACAGACGGACTCGGTCCAGACCCGGCATGAGAATGTATATAATACACCAGCCAGCTGATTAGCATTATGAGTTTGTTTGTCAACCGGTAGCTGTGCTGGCAGCATCCATAAATATATGACTGTTGCTTGGGGTCTGACACACCGTAACCCGCAGATGCAACCCCAACATATGTGTGTATACAGTGTACAGGAGCATTCATCATAGCTGCTGCACACATTTGCTCAAAAATCCACTCTAGGGATTTGCAATTCAAAATTCAAATTTACTACTTTGACCATGGAATTAAGATGGGAAAACGATATAGACACGACAAGACAGATGACCGGTTAAGCAGATGTTGACGGTTTTAGTTCTGCTGCATAAACCCGCGGATGCACTCTTTCCGGCTGCTTACTCAGCCGGTTTTAGCTCTTTTCGTCTTTGGCACATCAGGGAAAAGTGCATATAAATTTTTAAAGCTTTTTACGAAGCACTAATACTGTAATTTTTAACAGCATACGCATTGTGAAAGAAACACATAATTCGATCATAAATTTTCGAAAATACTGTACGTAGTTTTGCACGCGAATACTCATTTATAAACTGGCAAAAGCAAATTAGATTAATCGTGAGAAACTGCTCGAAATTAAAAACTGCATATCAGCGTTCGGAAGAATACAATAGCAGGGTGGGAAATTCGTGCACGGTGTTTTGTGGAAGAAGAGAACGTGTATTTGGGAGGGCAACGCCCGTTCTGGCCAGGTCAAATTAACAGTGAATATGGGGCGCTTTGGAATCCACGCGGGGCAATGAGGCGAAGAGTGTGCAACTGTCCATTCGCCGCAATATGCAACGGACTCTCCATTAAATAATGACAGGATTGCAAAATTGATATGAGCAACTTCCTAAACATAATTTTACAGTGGATTTTACGGGGCAGCCGGTATCTTGGTGGCATAGATTAGACCATTCGTGGAAGCCACAAAATGGGAATCGGAGGAAACATTGAACATGCCATAGAAGTATAGATCGAGTGCATATTATATTCCCCTGGCAGCTATTAAATCCATCTTTATTGATGTACACAGTTTCGATTGACAGCCGGCGTATGTGGACATATTTGATACATGTAGCCAAATCTCTGTTAATTAATTTAACGCTTGCGCTCATAAATGTATTAACGGCAGATCATCGGCGTATTGTTTAATATGCGCTTTGTTAATCTGAACAATATCCGTACAAGATGACAGAACTATACGCTTATGTATTAATTAATCTCATATACAGATTGGCCTTGTGCATCTTTGTTCCGAAAAGAGAAAATCGAGAACTATCGAGAAAAAAAAAGCTGCACTGAAATTGTAGTAATGCCCTGATTAATAAAGTAATTCTGAAAATGCCAGACGATTGAACATCCAAATGTTTACTTCGTATAATTATGCCTAATTATGCTTTAGACGGTAAATTTATTAAGCGCAGACAATAAGTAAGATACTGATTTCCGTTTTCAGTGAATACTTGGATTACCAAGACATTTAAACCATCGCCAAATTCAAACTAAAGCCGGGGTAGAGCCTCTGAAGAAAACTGCGGTAAACCGGCAGTGGACATGGGTCATAAACAGCGGTAATAAATTTTATAAAACTATGCAAACACCATCATAAAGATGTCCACTCTCTTCTTTACGGCTGTATATGTTACACAACTCCGCTCATTCGAAACATATGTGGTGGATATCGTCTATGCTTAAGGTCCCTCTTTTTCGGATCATCTGACAAAATATACCATCTTAATGGCAGTACAAATTTTCATGTTTTGCAGTTAAAATTTTACTGTGAATACTGGGATTAGAATAAATTACAAAAGACGCGTCTTTCTATGCATAATGCAGTATTCTAAGCAGCCTGTATAATATGTCACAAGGTACCGATACCGACGTCGTTTGCACAGCCGGCAAGTGCGATTCGGGACTTCAAAGTAATCAGACCAAGCTGCTATGATTTGCTCCCGATCATCTGCAGGGATCCAGTTTCAACAGGTTGACTACAGGCTCTTGCCGAAAAGTAATAAATCACAGGCCAGTACAACAATAACAAGCGGCACGATCTTCCTAGTGTGTTTTTCTTGCTGAAACTTTGCCGCG